CGGGTCGGAGACCTCCTTCGCCATTTTTATTAGCAATGTAGAATTTATTTGTCGCAGCTTTTATCTGTGTTTGAGTAAAATATCCCGCTTGTAGATCAACAGCTCGGAGTTTTGTGATAACGAGATCTATCAGTAAATAATTTATTGTGTCGGAGGATATATATTTCACGCGCAAAAAATGTTTTTATTTTTTACACTTATATTCAAGATCTCTCTGACAAATACACTCTCTGAGTCACTGACAATGTTTTTTTGTACAGCGACAAAACCCCGGCTGAAGATAAGACAATTCCCCCACTAGCTCCAACAGATATATATATATATATATATATATATATATATATATATATATATATATATATATATATATATATATATATATATATATATATATATATATATATACACACACACACACATATATATATATATATATATATATATATATATATATATATATATATATATATATATATATATATATATATATATATATATATACATCATGAAATATACTTACTTGGTGTGATAGAAATTGCAGAAATCAAGGGTCCGTATACACCTCTATCGGGAATGGCAGTTGTACCTTTTCCACTCCAGTACAAGTGGATTTCCAAGGTACTACCATTTACGGGCACGTCAAATTCCCGAGTAATACCTCTTTTAAAACCATTAGCTTCCTTTGCAATATCAAAGTTCGGCAAAACCACTCGCCCCTACAAAAAGACGAAATTCCAATCGACATTCAGCATCGCGTATGGAAAAGAAAAACAGACACTATATATATATATATATTTATATATATATATATATATATATATATATATATATATATATATATATATATATATATATATATATATATAAATTTTCAGTCCGCTTACTTGGATTGCTACATCGAATATTCTCCGACCAAGTCCGGGAAAAGTGGAGTTATCGAAAAACATAATTTCGGCAAAATGGAGACGAACTTTGTAACTACCCTGACGTAAGCAAAGTCCGTAGAATTTGAGAGAAGAAGGCGAAAGACGGGCGGTTTGGTAAATTTCGCTGTCGGAAGATACCATTGAAGAATCATTTGATGTTACGAAGATTCCGTCGGACTTTCCCATGTACATGCCTGTGCTGCTGAAAGCCCATCTATCGTTCGATCCGAAGTGAGATGAGCCTTGACCGATTAGATTCTCTTCGTATTCGTTTCCTTGGAAGTTAACTCTTCTTCCTCCGCAGTTTATGTACAGTGTGTGAACTGTAGAGATTAAATGGTGATTCGTCAGAAAAAAAAAATGAAAGATGGAATTTTTTTTTTATTTTTTTTTTTCCGTTTGTTATCGTTTGAAGAATCGAGGACTTACGGTTTGCGTTTCTTGGGCAACGGAGGTCTGGATACAAACACCACGAGTCTCGTCTATTAAACGAACGAGAGTTAGAATGGTTGCACACTATTGCCAAAAAAAAAATAAACGAAAAGACGAAAAAAGGGAAACACTCACGAGTTGCTTGAAGAAGTCGAATGGCTGGCGACTAAATTTCTGCAATTATAAATTATAGTTAAGTAGCTGTTGGTAAAATGTAAAAAGATTCAAATCGAATACTTAACAAATATATGTATATATATATATGATGTATACTTACACATTGGAGAACTGGCAGCCAGCTGCGCGGGACTGTGTGAAGTTGTTGTACGATAGATCCCTGCAGTTGAGTTGATCATGAGTTCTTATAGTAAAGATTAATTTTTTTTATTTTTTGTTTTGAAATATAAAAAAAATACGGTATGCGAAAATAAAACGATAGAACGGATGGAAAATCGGATAATGTGTTGTTACAAGAGTTTGTGGGAAGTAAATAAATTCTTACATATTCTGTCGGCTGTCCAAAATCCAACCAGGAACTTCTCCGGTTAGTGAGTTGTGAGACAAAAACCTACCAAGCAAAACAATAACGACTATTAACCGGAAATCGAAGATCACGTAAAAAGTAAACGAATTTACGAAAGAACCATCCAAACATTTGATAAGAAATTGTTCGTAAATTAAGATACGTACATGAATCTGAGCCTCGTCAGACCCTGGAGTGTGCTCGGGATAATTCCGCTCAACTTGTTGAAACTTAAGTCTCTGCAGAGAATAATTCAAACACAATTTTTTTTTTTAACGAAAGGTAAATTGTTATATTTACTACTGTTGGTAAAATTTGAAGTCAGATAACAATGCTTGCTTAAACTCCGAAGAGGGGAATAAGTTGGAAAACGAACACTTACAGAACTCCTAGATTAACCATGTTTACTAAGTAAGGTGGAATCGAACCAATAATCGAGCAATTTCTTAATATCCTGCACCAAAATGACCAAACAATTTTATCAACATAAATAAGCGCACGAATAAGCGCACGATATATATATATGTATATATATATATATATATATGTATATATATATATATATATATATATATATATATAT